CTCCACAACACTGCCATCTTAAGAACCAAGAGTTGATCTGACCCTCTTTCTTGGAGCCTTCACCAGTTGGTTGTGGCTTTTCTTTAAGCATTATACCCCTAAGAAAATTTCCAGTGGAATCCCCTATTCCTAAGTATTACACATTTAGCATCTCTGGTGCCCTGTAGAAACACTGGCACTATGTTCCAGGAAGGATCATCTGGCACAGATCTATTTCCTATTCTAGTCCATTTCCAAGCCATTATCAAAAGCCTCTTCTTGGAGTGGTCTGCTCCTTAACTGAGCACACAGTAGCTCAGCGGGTTTTATAGGTGCTTTTCCTTCAAGTTGAGACTTTCAAGGCATCTCATTTGGAACAAAACACACTCACTGCTACACTCAGTGTGACCAGCAGACGGAGGTGGAGGGGGTGTCCTCTAGCCCAGAGTTGTGGGGCAGTGACAACTTTTTCTTTTATTTCCTACCACCTGGATAGTGGTCCTCCCATCTGTTAGATATAAATTCTCCTAAATGTCTTCACCCAATTTTATCTTGTACTGCTCTTCCATGAGCGAGAGAATATGAATGCAAAGCTGTGAGTATTAAACATGAAAACTAGACCTCCATTTCCAAGGGAGATTGGTTTTCCTTCAAAGTCCAGCAGGGCTAGAGTGTGGTTCACTTTTAACAATCAAAGGAACAGGACCTGTTTGGTGATCATTGTTAAATTAGGAGCACAGCTAATGCCCTATGACAGAAAGGTTTCATGGTGGGATATAAGAAGATCTGGGCATTTAAAAATTATGGCCTCAACTTCTATATCTGAAAAAAGGAAGCAGACAAGAAAATCCTTAAGTCTTACTGCCTTGATTTAGAGCTCTCCAAGCAAAAAGCCCAAGGAAGAAAAGGTGGTTGTGGATTACTCAAGTAGGGTTCTATTCCAGCTGTTAGGAATTAGTTCATAAATGACTTGTCCAAAGTAGTTTATAATGATGCCCAAGATGGAATTAAAAAACAGAAAACTTCAAACTTTACTCATCTTTTGAGATAGCACTGGTAATGGGCACGGAGAAGCACTCAAAATCAAGGGCACACCCATAGGATACAAGGGCCAGGTGGGAAAATTATTGAAAGCCTCTCACCAAAGCACACAGTAGCTCAGTAGCAGACTTGAGTGTATCTGCTCAGGCTGCCACTACCAGATGCCATAGCTACCAACCTATGTTTTAGGGCTGTCATCAGATTCTGTCCTGACTACACCAGGAGGCATCTATAATGGAGGTCACCCCTCTTAACTGCAAAGGCTCTGAAGGGGTGCTCTCCAAGCAACAAGGAGACTGTTGCAGTATTAATAAGACTTTGCCCCTTGAATTAAAATGCATCAAGTGTGGCTGGCAAAATAAGTATCCTCCTAATGAAACAGGTCTCAAGACCAAGATTTTACCACCAGCAGAACAGGAGAGAAGGTGAGGGAGATGGGCCAGTGAGAGGAAAATTTTTTAAAAAAGGAAGAAAAATCACAGGATCACCACCAAAGCTATTTTTGAAAGGGCAGGAAGGAAGTCAAAGAGGAAATTAACTAATTCTTGCCAGGGCAGCACCGTTCAGCTGCTTCCCTAGTGGATACTTTATGGGGTGGCACAAGCCAACCCCATCTGTGATCTGTGGACCAGCAAAAGCAGGTTTAATTAGATCACAGACACAAAGGGCTATTCTCTCCTTTGCTAACAAATAACTGCAGCTCTAAGTGCCTACAACAGCAGGCAGAAAAACAAAGGCGCAGAACTGAACCTTAATTGAATCCTTCCCCTGACTGGCCCTTGACAATGATTTACTTGTAACCTGGAAAGGGGCGGGTGGAGCAAGAGACTAAGCTCCGGAAGACGAATTACTTGAGGATGGAGAAGGGAGGTAGTTTGTTCAACTATTTGTTACACTTAATAGGGGGCTGCTTGGTTTTGGTCTGATGGTCACAGACCACGTCATGGTTTCACCAGCCTTGCGCCCCAGGAATCCCATAAAATAAATCACACCAGCCTTCTGGATCCCACTCACAGCTCAGCGGGGGAAGATGATAAGCAGCTCTAGTTGCTGGCCATGGTGGCGCCTCCCCAACCCCCCTCTGGCCTTTGTACCTTTGCTCTGAGCTCAGTGTAGAGGGGGAAGCAGAGGCAATGGCAGGGTTCTGATAGGTACTCTGAACTTTTCTCCAACCTTGCGTGTTTAAGGGTCGATTCTGAACCGAGATTAAATCTATGGTTCAGTTCATCCCACAACAGAAAGGAAGACAAGCCTGAGGGGGCCCGGAAGGAAATACTATCCACTCAAAAGTACTCCTACCTGCTCCCTCTGTTCCCTTCCTCCTTCCCTGTTCACAGCCGGCTGTGTATTTCTCCAACTCTCCATTTTCCAAAGGGCCCAGGAATCCCAGTGGGGCCCAGGTGGCGGCAGAGGAGGGAGGGAGGAAGGGAGGAAGAGGAGTTGAAAAGGGGCAGCAGCTGCTGCAAATAGCTCCCTTTTGCAGTGCTGCCCTCCACTCGCCGGTCAGTGTGCCACAGCCTCTCCATCCTCCCCCTCCAAGCCTGGTGAAGGGGTGGGCCTGGGAGGCGGCGTAGTCCGCGCCGCATCGCTGTCGCCCTCGTCCGGCTCCGCTGGGTGCAGGTGCATGGCGAGCTCCTGCAGTACCGCCGCGCGTCCGATCTGGTCGTTTCGCCGCTTCTCCATGATCAAGTCCTCCAGGCTCTGGAACTCCAGCGTGTGGCTGCGCTGAGCCGAGAGCTGAATCTGCAAGCGGTAGGGCTGCTTGCCGATGCGCAGCTCGCCGCCGATCTTGAACTCGCGCTTGCCATAGCGGCACCAGGCGGCAAAGCTCTCTGAATTGCGCCAGCTGAGCTCGCGCTCCTTGGCGCCCACGTGCGCTAGCGCGTTGCGCACCACGGTACTGGGGCTCAGAGGCTTGTAGCGGTACAGATCGTTGACCACACGGCCACGTCGGCCCTGGCTCGCGTCAGTCAGAAAGCTGTTGCTCACCTCCAGCCGGTGCAGATGGACCACCTGGAAGTTGCCCACGTATACCGCCCAGTGCGGGTACTGCGCCTGAGACACAAACTCCACCAGGTCGCCTGGATTGCACTTGTTGAGCAGGTTCTCAGGTGTGTAAGTGCTCAGCGCCGCCGAGCCTGGCGCAAAGCTTTTCTGGTAGATGCACTCGTCGCGATAGAACACTGAGCACTCTACCTCGTGTAGCCGCGGGTCGTAAGGCTGCGGCGGGGGTAGCGGCGGCTGCTCCCCACAGTCAGGCAAGCCACCGCCATCCGGCCCTTGGGGCGGTGGCTGTGGCTCTACGTCCTCGTCGTCATTGGAAAAGATATAAGAGACACCGATGCGGGGGCCGTCGTCCCGGTCCACACCAGTAGGGTCGGCCGTTGGAACTTCCTTGTAACTTAGGTGGGTCAGTTTCTCCACCTGGTTGCCCATCACGCTGTGGACGCACGTTCACACCGCCGCGAGGGGAGAAAGCGAAACCGCCACTAGGGTCATTGGCACAGGTCCCCGGACAGGGGCTGCGGCCACCTGTTGGAAGAGAAAGCAAGAAAGCCATATCTGTAAGAGTCCCTCCAGGTAAAAGACATTTTGTCAAGAGAAAAGAGAGGAGACCGAGCACCTGGGGCCATTTTAGGAGAGTCTCGATCGTAGCGCGCGCCTTTCTTCTCCTTTAAGGTCGAGATAACAAGAGATAAGGCAACTCCAGCTCTCCCCCGCCACCAGCATTCACCTGGTCGGGGCAAAAGCCATTGCATCAGTGGCTCTTGCCGCTTCCGCCCGCGCCCTACCTGCCAAGCCCAGGCAGGAGGGAAGAAGGAAATAGAAACTTTACTCCAATCTCCCCTTTGCAACTCCCACTCCCACTGCAGGCCCTAACTGGCCCCGGAGACGTCCCTCAACGCCTTCCTCCCCGGGGAACAAGCGAGGATTCCGCAGCGCGGCCCGGGCAGGTGAGCCACCCCACCTGGCTCACCTGCGGCGCTTCCTCCTCGGGCGCCTTTCCCCTCCCCCGCGCTCGCCCGCCCTCGGCTTCGGCTTCGGGTTACCGGCGCTAACTCACCCGCAGGGAGGTGGAAGCCGAGGGAAATTGGGAGGGGCCCCTTGCCGCACCCCGAGACTTCTAGGACGAGTTTGCGGGTGTGGGCTCCGCAGTCCCTCCTCGCCCAGCACCGGCGGCAGCGACGCTGGGCAGGGGGTAGAGAAGCATGTCTTCCCCGCGGCTGGGTGGCGCCCCAAGACTTGAAGGTGGGGGGCAATTCCTGTTCACACCGCGCCCCCTCCCTCCCGCAGGCCCTGCTGGCCGCGCTCAGCCAGCTCTCGAGGGACGTGGGGCGCGAGGAGAAGGAGGCAGCCTCGCTTCCCGGCGGCGGTAGCTCCCGCTCGGGCCGCGCGAGCAACAAGCGCCGGAGCGGGAGGGACGGATTGTAGATCCGGCTCCGGGCTCCCGGGCGGGAGCGCAGCCCGTGGCATTTAAAGAGACAGGCGCTAGCTCCAGAGCTCAGGTCTTTCCCACACGGTGCAGAGCCGCCGGGATCCCCACCCCCGCCCCGCCCACCCGGGCCACGGGGCTCCGCCCGGGCCACGCCCCCTCCGGAGCGGTTTAAATCCCGCTGATAAATACGCAACCCTCTAACTGGGGCCGGCCCCCTACCCAGGCCCCTTGGTGCTCGGCTGCCTCCGTGTTTTTCAGAGCTGGTGCTCTAAGAAGTTGAAAGGCAAAAGCCACCTGCCAGTCTAGAAATGAGGACGAGAAGGAGAGTTAGTGTTGCTTCTTTTCCCTTTCATTTCTTATTTCTCAGTACCTGGAGAGGGAGGATCAGAGTCACCAGGGCTTTTGCTTATTTCTTTCCTTGTCCAGAACGTTATTTGTCGACCTCAAGATCATAGGAAGAGAATCTTTACTGGCACTTCAGCTCAGAGGCATTTCCAGTACAAGTAGTGTGAACTTTGGGGTAGAAAACAATTCAGAGAAAGGAAAGGGTGTAAAACAGAATGAAGGCAGTTACTGGCTGGCATCTAAAACCGATGCGCTGTTTATTACGTGTCCCTCGAAGTTATACAAAGTTCATTTCATAACCTCTGTTGTTTCTAGAGAGTTACCAGTTTGTTGAGTCCTGAGAAGAGTCATGTAGTAATCGCAGCTTTTCTTGGGGGTGGGGGATGTAGGAATTGCCTAATTGTCCTTGAATTAGAAACAAATTAGCAGAGGCCCCTGGTGGATATATTTCCTTCCTGCTGACTTTGAGAAGGAAGTGACAGGAGTATTGCTTATTAACCTCCACCGCAGAGGACATTTTACCCCCTGCTGGCTTCATTTCTTGTACCTAAGATGTAGGCTACCAAAGTGTGTGTGTGGGTGTGTGTGGGGGGGTATTTATTTATTTATTTGAAGTAATGGGCCCAGACTGGGGTTGAGAATTGTGGGCTTTGTTTACAATGGACAAGTTTAGGAAGCCCCCAAAACTAATTTCTAAGAATGCAACATAAGACCTATACCCTGTTTTCCATCATTGTTTCTTCTAACTAAATTTTTCCAAGTAATGCTATTATTTATTCAGCATGTATACCAATCCCTGGAAACAGAAATATACTACTACTGTGATCCTTTTCGGTTTGAGAGAATAAAAAAATCAATCTACTTATGTACCTTTAAGCCAGAACAATCAATATTGTCAGAGCTGTGATGGAAGTTAGTCCTTCAGCAAGTCTAAGATCACAGCATAAGCTAGACCAAAATGAAACTTCTGTGTACTGCATGTGCAGACTCAATTGAAATATTTTCAGACTGGCCTCAGACACATGTGACGCCGTGACACTCCTCTGGGCTTTTAAATAACACATTCTCTGGGGCTGTTGCTAACCGCCATTGAGTGTGGGTAGCTACCCATTTTATAGGGAAGAGTTAGACTGAGACAAGGGCTAATCATCTCATGTCTGTCAGACTGGGAACCTCTGCTACTGGCAGATGTGGTAGGCCACTTTGCCCCCAGGTGGCACTGAGTGGGTTGACCAGGATCTGAAAATTCATAGAAGGATACCCTGCTGCCAAAGCTCTGAATCAGATCTAATGCTGGAGTAACTAGGCCTAGTTGTCTAAGCTGCCTCTCCTAATTTCTCAAGGCTATCTATTCAGGTGCACAGTGGTTGTTAATTTCTAGAACTGACCAATATAAAGTTTCAGAGGGAAGACACCTACACTTATCAGTTATTCAATAAATGTCTGATGGATGGTTGAGGGAAATTCTTGGCCATGGATGAAGAATTACTGCCTGATATGGCTGGGAGGAAAGAAGTAGTGGTGCACACCTGTAGTCCTAGCAACTCAAGAGGCTGAGACAGGAGAATAGTAAGTTCAAAGCCAGCCTGGGTAGCTTTGCAAAACCCTGCCTCAAAATGAAAAGGTAGTGGAGATGTAGCTGAGTCCCCCTCCCACACATACACACACAACATGGGTTCAGCCTCCAGTACTGAAAAATAATTGCTCTTTGGTTTTATATGATAGTCAGTGAGTAAATGAAGAGATGATGCCTTTTGGTAACCAGGGTCTGATAGATTCTTATATCAATGACCACCTGGGACTCAGTCTCCATCCAGTCACCTTGAGCCCGAGGTCAGAGGTTATAAAATGGCTCCCCAAACATGCTTTGCACGTCTCAGTTATTGTTTAATACATTTTAAGTGTGTTGTCAGCAATTTGAAAACTTGAGAGAGCTTATGAAAAGAATTCAGATTTCTAGCTTTACCTGATAAATCTGAGGCTGTGAGCCCATCAGGCCCATGATCCACAAAGAGCTGGCACTGAGTGACAGTTGCTTTGAGATATGTGTTCTCTACTCTCCTTGCCTACCTGGGTCCCTTGCGTGGCCACCTTACATTTTATCACTTGATGATAGGTAATTCAGCACCTGATCATATACTACTTAGTATTATTCTCTAATTCATATATTTTAAATATCTCTTCTAGAGAGAATTTAATTCAAAATATATTTTTTGGATATACTTGGTATTATTATTATTATTATTATCTCCTACTAGTCTTATTCACTGTGCTATGTATTTTATAATAGCTTCCTAAGCTTTGTAGATATTCCTGTACCCATAGAATGGAACTCAGGGTTGTCGGATACAGAGACTCTTTAGGATACTGTGTCACGTCCTGAGAGAGGGGAAGTAGAGCAAGCTGAGGAGGTGAGCTGACTCTCAAGGCACATGGATAACAGAGATAAATGATGGATAAAGTGCCTGCCATCAGGGGTCCTGGCCTGGTGGGGAAGTGCAACTCTAAGATTAATGATAGCTGCCTCATTGAGAGAACTCTTGATTCTTTTATAAAGAAGAATAAAATCTAGAGAATCTGTGGCTTCTCCCAACTGGTAAGTGGGAAGGTCACCACAGGTCTGCTTTGCTTCCAGGCCAATGCTTGTAACCCCTTGGTTTAAAGAGAGACAAGCAGATTATAAAATATTTAACAAATATTTGAGTGTCTGGTTTCACTGGGCTCCAGGAGACAGCCATGGACATGGCCGACAAAGACCCTGTTCTTATGGCATTTACATGGTGATGGGACCGAGCAAATGATAGGTAAGAATGTCAGAGAGCAGGCTATGGAAAAGAATAGTAGGGTCATGGGATTGAGTAAGTGTCACTAAGGAGAAAGTGATGGGAGGGGACCTACTTTGGATAAGATTGTCAGGGAGTTCTCCTAAGGAAGTAGAATCTGAACTGAGAATGGATGGATGGGAAGGGCTGGCTTTGGCATTCTCCCCAGAGGGAAGACCAAGAGCAAAGACCAGAGAGGGAGGATTGGGGATTTTTAGGGAAAAGGAAAATATATGGTAGGTTGTGAGGAGCACAGCAGTGAGAGCGACTGCACTGGGGACACAGGAGGAGAGGCAGGCAAGCCTTTGGAAGGCAAGGCTGTTCTGCTGGCTGCCCTGTGGAAAATGGACCACAGGAGAAAGAAAGGAAGCCGGTGCCACCAAGGGCCAGCTTGTGGAGAGAACAGGCAGAAGGAGCCTGGTGAGCAAGGGACAGCCTGTGAAAGTGCTGTCCCCCACGGCAGCCTTGACGTAAAGAAATGCTCCTTGGATTTGAATGTTCTGTCCTCTTGCAGCTCTGTCCCCCAGCAGTGACCTAAGTGCCACATTCCACACCCCTCCTTGGAGGAGACCCTCAATAGAAACAAGCCCAGTTGAATGCCAGGTAGTCACCCTCATGGCATTCCTGTTCAGATGGGTGGGGAATCATTGAGAATAGAGGTTCCTACCTGACAAGGCCTGGGCCCCTGTGTTACAGGGGGAGTGGAGGTCTTCATTGGAGTGAATGGTCTGCTCAAAGATTGTACGAAACAGGAGCAGGAGGGACAGCAGAGCTGACTAGGCAGTCTGGAACTCTCCCTCTCTCCAGTCTGGGCCCCAGGTCCATGGCAGCAGCACCCGGCCTATGGAATTGGTTGAGAAATAGGGTTCTCTTCTTCCCTTCCATTGGAAAACTCTCAGATTGATTTAGGCCTGTTATTAATTGCTAGAACCTTAGGTGGTGAGCAGTAAGAAAGAAACCAGATGATCTTGTCCAGCGTCGTGTTCGCTGGGCCTCTGAGGGAGGGCTGGTGATCCTCTGTGCCTCACTGTGAATCCCCAGCTAGGAAGTACCTTGTCAATCCTGAAGGCTGCATAGAAGCCAGACACAACTTACACCCCACAGTGAAAGCCAGATGATGATTCTAGTTTGAGAAGTGAAAGGATGACCATCTGTTGTGGGCATCTTCTTCCTCAGTCTCCATACTAATCCTGTGGCATTTCATGGATAAGAATGTCACACTCCCTTTATGTGTAATACGTCAAAATACATTCTACTCTCATGTGTAACTAAAAAGAACAAATTAAAAATTTTTTTTGAGGAAAGGACGTCGAAGTCCAAGGGAGGTCAATATGGGACTCTTGCTCATGGTAAAGGAAGCAGCTAGATTCAAATCCAAATGTGTCTGGCTCCAGGTCTGTTTAGAATACTGTGTCAAGCAGCCTCGAGGATCACCAGCATATGTGTTTGTTTGCTCAGTCAAAAAACTGGCAGTGCGAGTGACCACCATGTCCTGGTTTGCCTGGGACTTTCTTGGCTTCAGCACTGAGAGCTTCATGGCTTGGCCTCCCTGGCCAGGTGCCTTCCTGACCTGGCCCTTTTTGAGCCAAGGGCTGTGGAGCCCAGGGCTGAGCTGGGAATGGCCCTGGGTTAGAGCAGGGAGAAGGGAGGAGAGTGAGGAGAATTGGGTGTTTGTGTCCCTACTCTCAAACAGACCCCTTTGTCCAGGCAGAGACTGTCATCCAGTAAAAGAGAGCACACATATTGCATATGTCACAGCCTGTTTCTATCTTTCATTCTTTTTTGGTGGTGGTTTTTACACTGGGCTCCTCACCAGGTAAGGGCTGAATCTTTTCCACCTTTGAGAGCTCCTGGCCTGAGACTTACTTTGCTTGACCCTCCCATCCCACCTACGTATCCCACCTACGTTGGATAATCAAAGGAGTGGTACCCTTTGGCCCAATTACTATTTGACCTTCAGATTAAGGAGGGAGGCATGCAGATTGCTGGATGAGGCCTTTCTCCTTGTCTTCTGCACTGTTTTTGCTCAGGTCACCAGAGCAGGTTGGGTTAGACAGAGCTGGTCTGTCAGGTGGGCAGGGATGATGAGGAGGGGTCTGGAGAAGGGGCTTGGGCTGTAGCCCACCTCCAGCCCTCAGCTCTCCATGCATTGGTCCTGGAGCCAGGTTTTTTATGAGGAAGCTTGAAACCTTTCCTGGAGGCGCTACACCCATGGAGTCTGTCCTTCCTGGAGGCCTGCTGTTCCTGGAGGCCTCTGCCACTGTATTGTTAATGTTGAGCCCCGGTTTGATTTGTGCTCAGGAGTCTGAGCTTGTAGCTGGGCTCCTGCAGGAGACTCATGAAAGATGCATTTCGCCATGCAGTTCCAGGGGAGAGACTGGCTTAAATTACAGCTCTACAAATCCAAATATTGGCATATCTGCAAATCCAAACGTAGGGATTTTTTTTTAAAAAAAAAATCTGAATTCTAAGAATCGTATTCTGCACTTCTTGTGTGAGAAAGGGAGGATGAGATATTCAGACAAGGCTGTCAATAATGAGAGAATCTGCGGCAGAGCAAAACCGACCTCCTGTTCTTTCCCTGGGCATTTTTCATGCTTCCGGGAAAGAGGAGCTCTGACGAGAGAGAAGCCAGCCTTGGTTCAGCATGGCTTTCTGCAGCCCAGGCTTGGGGGACCTCTACCCAGCACTCGGTAGAGGAGGGGCTCAGCAAGCCTAGTTGGTCAATCCATCTTCTTTCCCCCATCTCTAGGCCAGGGGCCAAGGGATCCCCGGGGGTCATTCACAACACTGCAGTCCATTTACAACAGAGCAGCCCTGGGGATCCTGTGGGATTCTGAGTCCAGCCAGGCTGTTCCTCTGCTCCAAGCCCTCCCCCCACTCGTCATCTCCTTTGGAGAGGGCGGGAGTTCCTGTGGTCTCCAAGGCCCTGCCTGACCTGCCCTCACCTTTCTGTCTCTGACACCCCTGTCACTCTTACCTGCAGACACACTGGGTCTTTGTTCTGGCCTTTTCCCCGTGGCATACCAGGGCAGGCATATTGCTTGCCCAGAATTCCAGCATTTACTGTTCCTCCTACCTGGAACACCTCCTTCCAGGTACCTTCATGGCCTGTCCCCTTAAATCAACTCAGATGTCAGCTTCCTGCTAAGCCTGCTCTGGCCACTTCACTTGAAATTGCCCTCCCATACACACTCCTTATCCCCTGCAATGATTTGGATGTGGTTTGTCCCTGAAAGATTCCAGTATTAGAGGCTTGGTCTTCTGTGGGGTGTTGGGGCCTTTAAGAGGTGGGGCCTACTGAGAGTTGGTTAGGTTATTGGGAGCACAGCCCCTCAGAAGGGTTTAAGGCAGTTCTGGGATCTGGTTAGTTCCAAAGAGAGTTGTTATAAATGAGTGAGCCTGACCTGTCAACTCTTCTCTGGTTTCTTCTCCTGCTATGTCATCCCTCTCTCAGATACTTCCATTATTGTGATACCTTCAATCATGAGGCTTTCACCAGAGCTGACCAGAAGCTGAAGCCATAGTTTTGGACCTCTGAAACTGTGAGATAAATAACCCTCCTTTTTTAAAAAAAATAAGTATCCAGTCTCAAGTATTTTGTTACAGCAATGGAAAATGGACCAATACATCCCCTGTCCTTTTCTATTATCACATATTCTATTAATTTATCATCTTTTAATATTCTATATATTTTACGAATTTATTTTTATTTATCATCTTTCCCAGGATAGAAGCTCTATGAAGTCAGAGATCTTTGTTTTGTCACTAGGGTATCCTCAGCTCCAGCAATAGTTCTTGGCACAAGCTAGGCTCAATAAATTTTAGTTAGGTGAAAAAGTGAAAGGGTTTTTATAGGTTGTTTCTCTTCATCTTCACAGGTCTTATTGATAAAGAATTATTCTCAATTTACAAATAAGGAAATTAATTTTAAAACTTACTAAATGCTTGTAATACGCCAGACACGATAGTCTATGCAGTTGAGTCTCAGAGGGTTAAGAAATTGGGCCCAGGTAATAAGGCTAAGTTCATCAGAAAATACAACACTACGCTGTCCCATGCAGTAGCCTCTGTCACAGGTGGCTGTGGAGCATCTGAAATGTCACTAGTCAGAACTGTTTTGTATCATAAATAAACACAAAAATTCACTCTGAATTACGACTTATTGGGTCATATGGATAATATTATTAAAATTAATATCATGCTGTTTCTTTTTTACTTTCTTCAATGTGGCCTCTGTAGAAACTTAAATTGCATGTGCGGTAGCTGGCACGTTGGGCTGCACCCTATTTCTATTGGATGACACTCACTCTGCTATCTATTTGCATTCCACCTTGGTCTCTGTCTTCAAGTGCATTTCCTCTTGGACTCTTGAGGGCAAAAGCTCAGTGACCTTGTCTTTCCTATAAGAGCAAAGATATGCAGAATGCATCAACAAGTCTCAGAGGTCCTAAAACACCTGTCTTAGTTCATGCGGTTATAACAATGAAAAATAGACAAGGTGGTTTTATAAACAACAGACGTTCATTTCTCAAGTTCTAAAATCTGGAAGGCAGAGATCAGGGCACCAGGCTGGTTGGATCCTAGTGAGGGCCATCTTTTGGGTTGCAGACTGCCACCTTCTGGTTGTACCTCGTATGGCAGAAAGAGGACAGAAGAGCTCTCTGGGACTGTTGTCTAAGAACAGTAACCCCATTCCTGTGGGTTCCACCCTCAAAACTTATCACCTCCCCAGGGCCCTACCTCCAATGCCATCACATTGGAGGTAGGAATCGCCATGCTGGTTGGGGAGGAGACGAACTTTCAGTTCATAACAACATCTAAAGAATGTATGTCTCGCTCTAAGGACATCACTTTTAATGAGCAGTGGAAAGAGGGTGGAAGAGGCCTCCAGGTATGATGTGTCTTGTGCGGCTTCTTAATAAAACAGGCAGCCCCTGCACAAACCTGAGAGTTGGTCCTGTGAGGGAGAAATCCCCAGTGATATGGAGGTGAATGATGCTGACAGTCTCAGGGCTGGGCACTCACCCTAGCACAATATTGGGTACATTCTCATTGTCTACTCCCTGTCAACTGAAAGCAGCTTTCTGGGCAGCATGTGGCTACCTTTATGGACATGCTTCAACAGAATCCAGGTTCAATAGTAGCAGCTAATGCTTGTTGAGTGCTCATCCTATCCAGCAGCATTCTGAGAGCTGGGCATGCAATCAGTCCCTCATGCAATCCTCACCTGCAATGTCAACGCGATTCTCAGTTTCCTCACTTTTCAAAGGAGAAAACAGAGACATAACAGACAGCAGGCAATGCCAGGTGGGAGTAACTTCTGCACCCACCTGGCCCAGACACTAATGGGTAGAGCCTAGTCCCTTTTACCCCAGTTTCTCTGAATGCTCAAGTCATCCCCTGGAGCCCGGGGCCCAGTGCCGAGGCCTATTCTTCACAGGCTTCCCACCTCACCTCCTGCTGGTTCCCCATTGGCCCACCCTGCCCCAGGCCTTGGCTTCCTGACCACAGGAAGCTCAAGGTTGCTGCAGACCTTGAGGTGACTATTTCCTGGACTTGGAGGGCTCCCATCCTGTTATTCCCAAAGCTGAATTCTTTGCATTCCTTATGCTTTCAGCTTGAGTCCTCCAGAGGCCTTTGCCTGCCAGTTTGTTCTCCCCCCATTCCTCCCTGGGCCTCGGGGTGTCTCTGCACAACACTTCCAAGCAGTGACCTTATTTCTTATTTATCCTCATTCCTGGTCCCTGTAGGAGCCTTGCTTTCCCAGGTCACTCTTGGACCCTGTGTAATGACCTCTGCCCAGTAAGTACTTAATGAATACGTGCAGAATAAATGAATCTGCTCAGATGAGCCAGCCTGTCTTATTCTGTTCTCCTTCAGAAAATCATTTTCAGTATTGGTCAGATTTGTGAAACCAAGGTGTTGAGTGGTACCAGGAGAAAGCTAATAAAGTGGAGGTCAAAGAAGAAATAGGAAAAAAAATAAAAAGAAACTCTGAGAAGAAGAAGATAATAAGGGCCTATTAAGTAGAACAGATTCAAGAGAGGGTTTTTCTAAGTTTTCATCCGGAGCGGGGCTTGATGGCCTAGTGAAGGATAGGTGGAGTTCTCAGGGTGCATGTCCAGGACTTGCCTTTGGTTAAAGGACAGGGCCTGGCCCTGGGCCCTGTGACCAAAGCTGAGTGTGTTCCTCTGGACACTGCAGCCCAGCTGAGCCTGGCCATCCAGTTCCAGGGGTCCTTACTGGACACTTGCTTTCTGCCATGCCTCTTGCTCCGTGGGTGAGTTGGCATGAGAAGGTGACTAAGATGGGATCCCCCCTGTAGAAGCTCACATCCCCTCACACCAATAGCACTTTCTGGGTGTCCAGGAAACGTTTTTAAAGTAATGGATTCATGAGTGCAGAGAGTTTGGCCTTTGTCTTTAGGGCCTGGAAAGTAACTGGGGATACCAAACAGAATGTTTGGAGACAGAGCTACAAGTTAAGTAGAACAGCTGCGGACTTACCTTTTGCAAACTGGAGTGGCTCTAATCACTCCATTCATAGCTTTGAACCAGCAAGAAGATGAAGTTTTGTCTCTGAGGTGGCAGCAGGACTTACTTTGTGACAGGCACTTTGTCACCTGGCAAACCCTCCCTGCCACCTCACAGGGTGTTATGATGCGCCTACCTATTCTATGGCAGGGTAAGGTGGACCTCCATACTGGACTCATCACCATCTGGACTGGCTGATTTTAGGTGTAAACCTGACTAGATTAAGAAACCTGGGAAGGTGGTAAAACAGTTACCAGTCACTTCTGAGTGTGGCTGAGAGGTTGTTTCCAGGGGAGACAGTGTGACAGTGGACCAAGTGGGGACAATCGATGGGTACAGGCACCATCTAATGAACTGGGGACCAGATGGCACAAAGGAAGCAGCGAAAGCTGATTCCCCCCAACCCCCTTCTTGCGCTGGGACACTCTTCTACCTCAGACAGCAGAACTCCAGGTTGTGTGGCCTTTGGGCTCCAGGACAAACACCAGTGGCCCCTTGAATTCTCAGACTGAGAGTTGCACCATCAACTGCTCTGGTGCTGAAGCTTTTGGACTTGAACTGGACTACGCCACCAGCATCCCAAGATCTTCAGCCGGTAGACAACTTGTCGTGAGACTTCTCAGTCTCTATAACTTGTGAGCATATTCCCCTAATAAATCCCTTCTCATTTACTTACTTACTGTCTGTCTGCCTTTTATCTACCTACCTACCTATCTCTCTATCCATCCATCCATCATTTACTGGTTTAGTCTCTCTGGAGAATGCTAATATGCCAGAGCTGGAAACTCCAACAACCAATGGAATGTGGACCCAGGTGGATTGGAGTCTAAGGCCACGATGCACAAGGTCCCTTCTTCATCCTGCTATTTGCACAGACCACAGAAGGAGCTTCCAGGTGAGGCAAAATACCACCATTAACAAAGCCAACGCATTTCTTTTTCCCTCTTCCTTCTCCTCTAAGTGGGGTATAGAGCAGTTGACCAAGGGCTCCAGCTGAGTTTCTTAGACTATAGCATGCCCCTACAGATTTCAGGAGCAGCCCCATAGAGGATGGCCCCACAGGGTATTGGAACCTGAACTTTCTATATAAGAATTGCCCAGGGTGCCAAGGGATGGGGGATAACCTGAAGATCTTGACTAATTTGACAAATGAATTTATTACCAGGGAGGATCTGAGTCATTAGAGCTTTGGGGGCCTGCTAACAAAGAGAAATAAATTGGATTTCAATGTGCAGTACCCAATCGCTGCATCCCTGCTGACACTTAAACACAGCACCAACCTGAGCATGAAGAATTCTTTCTGCCAGTTTGGCAAGGTCAAAGACATTCCCATTTCTACCAGGCAAATTCCCTTCACCTAGTGCTTTACAAATTCCTGTGCAAATTGCCAGGGACTAGATCAACATTTACCAAAGCATCTTTGGCCTGTTTCCTTCCATTGTCCACAAGTCCCAGGGGCTCTGGCTTCCTCAGTCATTATGTGGAAAACTTTCAGGCAGAATCTAACAGAGATTAATTTGGAAAACTCCCCTCTGAAGGTCTCTACTTAACTAGATTTCTGTTTAACTGGAGGTTGAGTAAAACCTGCCTGGTTGCATCCTTTGTTATTGAAAATCTTTTCAAACTGTGTTAGTTCACACATCTGCGTAAATTTCTGGAGTAGAATAAAAATAATTACATTTTTTGCTCCATGATCAGGCATCTTGCAGTGCCTTGGGGCATTATTCTGCCGATCTGTTAGGATTAAAATTTAACTGCAGTTGTAGATAGAAGAGAAATCAGGCTCTATCTGTTCTGAGCTGAAGAGGAAATTCATCCAACTTTGTAGAGAGCACAATGGTCTCTTGCCTTCTCAGTGCCTAGCAGGGTGTCAGGGCCTCATTCTCAAAGATGCTAAGAGTCAATAAATACCTGATATGGCCTTTTCCTTGCAGTTCTCCCCTGAATGGTAGTGACAGTATCTGTTCTTCACTGCTGGTGATTGTTCTGGATGTTGGGCTAAGGACTTCACTAGGTTACATCATTTCTTCTGAATTGCCATCAGTAAATGGACACTGGCGGGCTTCATCTCCACCTTGGAGCCTCAGAGGGGCTGAGTGACTTGCTTCTGGGTCCTCCAGTTGGAAGCATGGGTCTCCCTTGGGAACTTATTTTAAAAAAATGCAGGATTTACCTGACCTGCTGAAATAGAACTTTATAAGACAATAGCCCTTTAACAAGACATCCACGTGACTATGGTGTGCGTTAGTACCTGGAAAGCATCAAGTTAGGGACTTAGTCTCTGAAGCCTGCCGCTTGTTTTAATCCAGCACTTTCTCTTTATTTTTGTGCAATCTCAGGCAAATCCCTTGGCCTCTCTGTGCTTTAGCCCCTGGTTTTAACAGGATTCACCTCTCTGGGTTAGAGTGAACTCCAAGGTAATACATGTGGAGGGTCCAAGGAAGTTGAGGGCACTGTCCTTGCTCGTGCATAGAAGGGGCTCCCTGGCTATTGTTGTTGATGATTTTGTTTTAAATGTTCATCTTCCCTGGGCCATTCTTGTTGTCTTTGAGGTCTTGGTACCCAGCCCACGATGTTGAGTTTCATGGTTATGTTATCTGTTATCCTGATGGAAGGCTTCTGCTCCCTTGACAAATCTTCATCATTTAGTGCTGGGGCTCCGCTTGGACAGGTTCCTCTGGGGCCTGGGATCATCTGCTTGCACCCAGCATTCTGTACAGGTGAGTCCACCAGAGACCCTCCGAGGTGCCAAGTGCAGGTTTTCCAGGCTCTCAGACAGAGGTGTTCTGGTGCTTGGTCCTTCTGGGAGCTGGAACCACTGCAGTTCAGCTGGGAGAGAAGACATGCCTGGCTGGAGGGGGTTCTGTGGCAGCAGTGAGGCTGGCTTCTTTCTCCCTTCTCCTTCTGTCACCGTAGATGAAAGCCAGTGTGTCCACCAGAGAGACTGATGATCCCCCAAGCCTGCAGCCAGGAAAAGGCAGCAAGCAAAAGTGAGCCACCAGCCTAGCAGCATTGGCTGGAGATTTATATGGAAACCTACCCATGAACAGAAAGCCGCGGGATTGATAACAAGTGCTGGGTACTTTGTTCTTGTGTGCTGAGATAAGGGTAAACAAATTTCAGGCTGTGATGTAAGCACCTATCTGTAGACATTGGGACAGGTCCTTTGCCCTGTTGCTGGGAGCTGGCTTGACAAACTGTCCCAGAGGCCTATATCTCAGAGACTCTATCAAGAGGTCATGCTGGGGCCCCAGTGTTAAAGGTAGAGGAACTTGCCTGGGTACAGGGGGACTTTTGTATCCTTGTGCATGTGCAAGCTCAGAAATCTGGCCATAGCACTAGTGATGGTATTTGGAGAATTCTGGAGCTACACAATGATGGCCTTGAGGAACTCAGTGGCCCAACAAGAAGAGAAAACATGCAGGAGACCCAGGAGACGTACGTCCCCACTGCAGGCCACACTTGATCTTGGTTCACGCCGTCAAAGCCACCTGACCTGGCTCTGCTCTCTCTGTGGTCAATGGCAGGTAGCTAGGTGTTCTGTTTCCCTCATTTCTTATCACACCTGATTGCCGGAACCCCTGTTGCAGGGCTGGGCCTTCCGGGAAACTGAAGCAGTGCAAAGACACACACCCCCCCCCAAACCCTGAATCTTGTGACCAATCAGGAAGATTTCAGACCTATTTAGAGTAGCAGGCAATGAGTTTATTAGAAGGGATGAGAGAGGGGAAAGGGGACGTCCTCAAGGAAGAGTGGGTCCTCTCAGAGAGGGGAGGCACGGGGCGCCTCTCCTGCACTCCAGTTTTATTGGAGAGTCCTGAGAAGTTTCTCCAGAGTCCCATCCAGGTCCACCTCTTCACTTGTGGCTGACAGCAGGATGACCTCAGACTTTCAAGTCGGCACTGTCAGGACAACTCAAGGTCACTGGGCCCATGCTGACCGGTTCTAATTGGATTCTTAACCACAAATTCTTACATATTTTATGTTTAGGGGGAATTATCTTTATCTCCTGGGGTTCCAGGATCTGATTTGTTAAAAGGATCACAAAAGCCTCCCCTTCAGGGTAACTTGGGTTCTTCTTATCAGCATTATTTCAGGCTTGTTTTTCTCCTGCAGATAACAGGTAAATTGCTGAGGAATGTGACACAGCCTGACCCCTTAGGCTAGGCAGGGCTGCAGGTAAATTGCTTCTTAGAAAAGGAAGCATGGGGATCAGCACAGTGGGCCCATTTTATGGAATTTTCCTCTTCACCTCATGTTCCCACCACTCACATCTATCTATCTGTCCCTGACCACACTCACTGGGCCACTAAAACTGGTTGCAGCTGTCCCCTTTACCATAATGTCCACCAGCTGGGTACAAAGGCAATGCATCAATGAACTTTACATCCCTTATGTATAAGCTCACACTATGTGTGAATATTGTTTACAGAATAAGAGAGGTAGCACTATGAGGATGTGCCTTTTTTGGGATATATAGGATTACAACTTAAAATTTGGAAACCTATCTTTATCCAATAAAATACTTTATTGGTGTTTTGCATGTAATCTTTAAGATCCTTAGCCATTATATAATGTTAAGTATTATTATTTCCACTTTAGAAATATTGAACTGGGCACGGTGTTACACGCCTGTAATCCCAGCAGCTCAGGAGGCTTAGGCAGGGGGATGGCGAGTTGAAAGCTAGCCTCAGCAGAAGGTAGGGTTCAAGTAACTCAGTGAGACCCTGACTTTAAATAAAATACAAAATAGGCCTGGGGATGTGACTCAGTGGTCTAGTGTCTCTGAGTTCAATTCCAGATAACCATCCCCCTAAAAAAAACAAAAGAAATATTGAAACTGAGTCATCAGAAATAAGAAATTCGACCAGGAAAACACAGCTCTTATGTGGTAGAACCAGGATTTAAACCTACAGCTCTTGCATACTTATCCCCTGTTGCCCAAGCTGATGTTCAAGTCCTGATATGTCACTGTCCATGTTCTTCTGGGGTCATCCCAATTTCCCAACTGTAATTGGGCAGAGCGCTGTTGCAAGATCCCCATGGCTGCTGGTAAGTGGGTGTCGAACATGCAGGAGAAGGAGGGATGCAGCCAAGGAGACTGGGCTTTGAGGCTTGCACAAAGCCAAGCATGATCCCCAACAAAGTAGGTGCTGCTCCACAGACCTGGGCAGGAGCAAAGCTGATGGGGGGCCAGCCATGAGTGCAAGGGCCTTCCAGGGGCTAAGTAGCTGGGGACTGTGAGCCCAACCCTGGATTCAGGGACGAGGCTGGGGTGGCGGGGTGGGGGAAGTAGAGAACAGGTTGATCCCCAAGATGCGTGAGGCCACACTTGTGTTCAGAGTAAGGCGGACAGATATGTGCATGGTACATGTGAGTGTGTATGTGTGCACAGAGGAGGAGACACTCGAGAGAGCCGTTGTGTGAGACCAGAGACACAAGGCAGCATTGTTTTATATTGTAGGTACATCTTAGGAGCTCCCAGGCTCCCCTGGCACAGGACACTCAAGCCATCTCCCTGACCCACTGCTCTCCATGTTGGTGCAAATCATGTGAGTAATACATGTGTAGATAAATATAGATATATATTCATGATTTTTTCCCTATGATTTTCCCCACATATAGACTAAAAGTTTTTCTTCAGAGTTGGTTAGTACGATTGCCTCTGGAAGGGCAAAAGTGCCCAAGTTTGGAAAGAGAATAACTTTGCATATCATTCTCTTCTACACTGTCTGACTCTCTTGCTCCTGATTGTGAACTCCTTATTCAAGATGAAAAAGCACAGACTCTGTCAGGTGTCTGCCTTACCTCTGGAAGTCTGTCTCTTCACCAGCTCTCGTGAATGAACAGTTGTTTCAGAGTGTGACTGTCCCTTGGTGTGTGGACAACCTGGCTAAAGGTGGCTTCATACTTTAATGAAAAGAAGTGGACTGTGGAAGACCTTGGGGGGTGAGGAGGAGGGAATGTTCCAGAGAAGGCCAGACTAGCCAAGGAGGTGATTTCTGCATGTTCATTAAGGCGCAAGCTGGGTTCTTCCCCCTGACTCTGGCTTCAGTGGCAGTGGCTTGGGAGAGCTGAACTGGATGGAGGGAACTTGCTGTTTTTGAGAATGAGATAGCTGTAAACCCTACAGACATTGTTCCTGGGACAACCTGTGACCCCAGGGCTGAGAAGCACCCTGCGAGAGCAGAAGCCCCAGACTACCTCAGAGGCACTTGACAGGTCTTGTGCATTCTGCCCTTAACCAGTCCTGTCAATCAGTGCTCTAATTTACCCATGATCATCTATGGCAGGTGAAGACCCAGAGTTTTAGGAGCTAATCACCACCCCAAGATCTCACAGCTAATCAGGCCGAGTCACCAGGTGACAGAGGTTCTCTGCCCATTGCCCTACTCTGCCTGGAAGGAAAGGAACAAGAACTTCCACACCAGCAGGCGCTGGCAAGTCATTATCTTAGTGAAGTGGTTTTTGAAACAGTGGCTGCAGCAGAATAGGCCTCGGGGCTTGTAAAACACTATTGTTTAACCCCACCATGCTGAGCCCCACCATGCTGATTCTATAGCTTGGGGACAGGGCCTGAGAATTTGCTTTTCTGTGGCGTTTCCAGATGATACAGAAGCTTGGGTTGTGGAGAACACTTTGAGAAACACTCTTTCAAAATAAGGAGATTAGAGATTTTATTCCGTGATTTTAGTGTCAAATATGATGGAAGCAGCCAATATATTGTTTTCTTGTATTTTTTTTTTTTAGTTTTAATAACATACATTAGTAAATATCCAGCTATGGCATCTATTTTAAACAAATAAGGGATATGGCTTTGTGGCTCACACAGGCTAGAAAGAGTAAGTTCACTTCACAGTGTGGATTGTGGAGATGACCACAGTACTCCCCAGAGGAAGGACCAAGTCAGTAGGTATGACTCTGTGTGTCCAAGTGACAGAAACAACTCAAGTCGTCTCTCCTGAGATCGTCTTAGGCTGTATGTAATTGACACCTTCGTCAGGTGTCTTGGAACCGATTCCTGTTTTTCTTGTACAACAGCATTTCTGGAGTTAGAGTGTCACTAGGATTGCTTCAGGGGTTCACCAGTATCAGGTCTGGCATCTCTGTGATCCTTATCAATTTTCTCTTTTGAACTCATGGTCTCAAAATGCTGTTGTGGCTCCAGTCATCATATCTGTGTTTATGTAAGGTAGAAAACAAAAAAAGGAAAGAATGTTATCTACTTGATCAATTGATTATATCTTTTGTGGCTTCAACTGTATCATAGCCAAGGAAATGGATAGAATAAATAGTTGGGAAAATTGCCTCTGTATATGAAATCAGGGTTTTACAGTCAAGGGAGATGAAGCCAATGGATATTAGGAATTCCTTTAATTACCTTGCTATAGCAGCAGGGAGATGCTGCCTACTTGAGACAGACAAGGATGGGGTGGCTTTAAAGAGTGGCAAGAGGTACCTTTTCCTGTATAACAAGCCACTCCAAAACATAGTGACCTTTAAAGTTTAAAGTTCAGATTTAAAGAGACATTGATTTGCCTATGAATCTGTGGATGGGCAGCTTGGACCCCTGCACCCCTCCCGGAGGCACATCCTTGCTCCATGTGTGTCAGCTGGGCTCCATGCTCTGTAGTGACCTCAGCTAGATGGCCAGGCAGATGTTGCTAGGACACCTGGACCTTTCTTTCCACTCAGCTTCTTGTCCCACAGTCACTTTATGCACGTGGTAGAGGAAAGGTCTCGGCAAGCAGCAAGCTGTCTATGGCTAATAAATGCCTCTAGAGCTCAGTGAAATAAAACACCACCATTTCATTGGTTTCTAAACTGTGAGTCATCATTCTGGGCGGGGCTCAGCTGGACGATTCTTCGGCTGACCTCTGCTAGCATCGCTCATGTGGCCTGTGATGGCTTCAGTTAGTGCTGGCTGTCGGTTGGACCACCTGACTCCAGAGGACTAGCATGGCTTCCTGGAATGGCAGGGAGGTTCCAGAAGCAGCAAGCAAAGGTAAGTTCTCACCACAAGTGCTTCTCCAGCCTCTTCTTGCATCCTGACAGCTGACGTTCGTGGGCTAAGAAGTCACGTGGCCAAGCCCAGAATCAGTCAGGGAAGGGACTGTGCAGGGTAGAGGACACAAGGAGTCACGGTGTATTGGTCCCATTCCTGTACCATCCACCACATATGCCTTAAACCAGGGATTGAATGTCCCCGGGGGCTCCCTATCACATCTTTGTTTTTTTCTACATATTTTCTTTTAGACACAGGCTTTCCCACAAGCCAGAAATCTCAGGTTCCCTCACCTCCAGAAATCACTTTCACAGCTTCTCACCCACAGAAAGAAGGGTCTTCCCCGCTGAAGTTTCATCCTGAGGCCTGTCGGGAAAAACTGACCCATCAGTCATGGGTCAGATGGCCATCCTCGGTCAAAGCCCTTGGATACTGTGATTGGCAGATCCTTTGAACTTCATGTTTGGACAAGATGTTTCAGAAAGAGCAGATGTGGAGACACCACCCTAAAAAAATGAGCTGATGTCCATCTGAGAGAACATTGACATATCAGCCATAAAAGAAAAATAGATATGCACAGACAATGATAGGGACCATTTGAGCATCCTCACAGACTCTGGAGGAGTTTTGTTTATTTTGCTAGTTGGTTGGGAGGACCTAGTCTTAATAAGAATTTAAGCTAGTTTAAATTCAGTTATCATCTTCTCCAAAAACATTGCCTTATTAAACCCATATACACATTCTCCTTTATTTTCTCTGAAAAAAAAAAACTGTACCCACATCCACTGCTGGCCCCAATGGGAAGGCTGCTGACTGGGTGTTTTGTGCAGCAAACATACAATCCTCATTGCATTATCTTGTCGCGCACCTCCCCCTGAGATTGTGCTGGAGACACAGAGCACAGAAAAGCAAAAGAAGACGTGAGCCGTTAATTGGTAGCTCGGTCACTTGAGGAGCGGGGTCTGTTTATTCCTCCAATCCTGTTAGATTTGAAGAGCAAGCGACGGATGCTCCACATTGCGGTCTGTGGCTATGTAGGATCTGGGGCCAAAAGAACGGCCTCGGATAGAGCCTGCCAGCTGAGTGCCACTGGGGGTCCCCCAACAAGGGCGGAGTTTCAGGGCCCTTGTTGGGGGACAGAGTTTTAGGACCCATCCTTGCTTTTTTATTTTGAGGGAAGGGAAGAAGAGACAGTGGCTGACAACCCAGGGAGTGGAGGAATGAGAGCCTATGGGGGATCCACCCAGTTTCCTTAAATAGCAGATTCCTGAAAGCCTTTGAGGCAGGTTCTGGAGGCAGGTAGCCATGGCGATGCGGTTGCTCTGCCTCTCATCCTCGGTCGTCAGAGAGAGGAAGGTGGCTTTCCCTTCCAGGGGCCTGAGCTGGCCTGGGTGCAACTTCAGATCCTTAGTTGATGGAAGCCTCTCCTCACCGTCTGGGTTCCCCGTGGTGGCTCCCAGGCAGCTTCTGCCCAGCAGGCACGGATGGGAAATTGTGGTGTCACCACTTGTGTTAGGAGGTCCTGGTTTGCCTTCAGGGGACTGTGGAATTCACTTTGGAATCGTGGTTGGCAATGAGAGCATCACATCAGCAGGTGGCCGAGCAGTGCTGGCTGTACCTCTGGAGGATGTGGGCACTCTGGCTTCATCTATTCCTTAGGGGGCAGAACTCATGCTCCTTCCTCCCTGCACACCTTCGGTATCAGTGTCTCAGTGACCAGGAAGAAAGGGGGGATCTGGCAAATGTTTTTGGGTGCAAAGTGGGAGGGTGGGCTTAAGAGAGCACCTCATTCTTACATTTTATATATTGAGGGACCAGCTAGAATTAAATATTTTTCTTGTGAATAGACACTTGTTTATATTTGTAGAAATATTGAGGAGAAAGCACAGCATTCTCATACACCCCTTGTCCAGTTTCCCTTATCATTAGTATCCTGCATTAGTGTGGTATTTTTGTTATAATTGATGATCTGAAATCAACACATCATTATTAACTAATTTTATTTGTATTAAACTATTTACATTAAAACTTGCTCCTTGTGTTGTACATTCTATGTTTTTTCTGCATAATGATCTGGACCCACCCTTATAGAATCATATAGAATAATTTCATTGTCCTAAAATTGCCCTGGAGTCGGCCATTCATCCCTTCCTCCTGCCTTCTGAACTCTTGGTAACTCTTACTGATCTTCTTTCTGTCTCCACAGTTTTGTTTGCTCAACAATGTTTTATAGTTGCAATTTTGCAGGCTGTAGACGTTTCAGACTAGCTTCTTTCACTTAGCAATTTGCATTTAATATTCCTCCATGTCTTTTTCTGGATGCGTAGTTCATTTCTTCTTATCATTGGATAATGTTCCATTGTATGGCTATATCACAATTCATTGAATGTAAATTCTCTGAAGAGGTTTTTCTAAATAAAGCATATTTTAAAATAAAATCAGCTAAAGTTCATGGCTTTCTTTCATGAGATGGAGAAGCTGTGGATAGATCACCCTGCAGAGAGAATTTGCACAGAAACCAACGAGGGGTGGAATGAGAGTGACTACTCACAAAAAAAACCCAATTCCTATAGATGCATGTATGTGCATGCACACACAAACACACACACACACACACACTAACATACACACTGACACATGATATCCACTTAAAATGGCAGGTCAGGTATTAAGGGATGAATAATGGAACAAGAATGAGAAGATGTGGTCCAATACAAGTTAGCAGAGACTGGGGATTTGAGTGTCCATCCATCTATCCATCCATCCATCCATCCATCTATTCTTTCTTTATTTATTCATTTAGTACTGATTTAATGAACACCTGGTAATATGACATGATGCTTGGCCCTGAGAACATGAAAATGGCAAAACAGAGGCCATCTCAACTAATGGAGCTTTCTGGAGAGTTGGACATTTACCAAACCAATGAGTGTGAAATCCCAAGCAGAATGAAATGCTCTGAAGAAGGACACTGGACTTCTCTTGGAGGGCCAGGCCCAGTTTCCTGGAGGAAGGGCACTTTAGCAGGAATCTCAAGGTTCACCACAAGCTGGCCTGGAGGAGGAGAGAGGTTGCTGCTCCAGAATGAGTTCAGCTGGTGCCCTGCTCAGTAGGTCCTTCTGGGTCTTCTCCTTGGGGCAACTCCATGGCAGAGCATGGCTCCTTTAGAACGTTGGGAGCATGGGTTAGGCAGGTTTCTAGGACCCAAAGTGCTGGCAAACTCTCTCCAAGCAGTTTGGGAGGGCAAGAGTTAATGAAATTTTATCCTCCATTCCTACTTTTCCTCCAAAATCTATTTTGAGCAGTCCTGATGTTCCCAACACAGGAGTTGTAAAATTAAATGAAATATGGCGTCTGCCTTCATGGATGAGGCTGACCAGTCAACACAGGGTTGTACAATATGCTCTCTGACAACGGCCCTTAGGCTGCTCTGGGCACATCCAGGTGTCTGTTCATCCTGCAATATATTAAGTGCCTATTGTATGCCAGGCATTGGGTGGGCCAGAGATGTGGGCATGAAAGAAATACATCATTCAACTATAAGTACTTTGGTTTCTGGTGCCAGGGACAACTTGTCAACAAAATTCCGAGCAGTGAGTGCTAAGACAGAGACAGAGATGTACCTGTCTTTGAAAGAAGGTACCATTGAGAGTCCTTTCGTCAAATCTGCTTCACTTTAGACAGAGGAAGTAAAGCATTTCCTGGTTTACAGTAAAGTCATTTATGGAAATACATGATTCTAAATGTTCTCTTCATTTAATCTGAGGCCTGAGATGGTAAATTTCTTATTTTGCAGAGTTCCCCAGCATTAGATAAAGATCATTCAGCTTCCCAAAGAGGAAGTCAGAAACCAGTATGCAGAGGCCAGTCAGCTTCGAGGCAAGCAACATGGTTAGTGATTTCCTACTTCTAGTCCTCCTGGGTCTTAAGACAGCTTTGCAATATGGTGGCCAAAAGACCCAACAAGAACAACTTAAATGAGAAAAAGTTTATTTTGGCTTTGGGTTTCAGAGGTTCAGTCTATGGCCAACTCCATAGCTCTGGGCCCAAGTGAGGCAGAACTCCATGGCAGAAGGGCCTGGTGGAGGGAAGAAGCTCAGGACATGGCAACCAAGAAACAGAGCACTCCACTGATGAAGGACAAAATATAAACCCCAAAGGCAGGCCCCTGTGCATGACCTACTTCCTCCAGCCACATCCTTCCAGCCTACAGCTACCACCCAGTTAATCCACATAAGTGGATTAGTCCAACAATTAGGTTAAGACTCTCATAACCTAATCATCTCACCTCTGAACATTCTTGCCTTGTCTCACACATGTCTCATATTGATGCCATAAGGTATTTTAGGTTGTCTCAACTTTTCTTTTGGAAGGGAGAATCCATCATTGCCTGTTCTGATATGTTTGGTTATTTAAAATAAAGCTCAGTCAGGATAATTAGAGAAAATCCATAGGGCCCTGGGATATATATTTCAAGTCAGGATGTGAATGTGGGTGCAATCTGACGATTTGAA